TAGATCCCGTCACCGCTACTGATACCACGTAAAGTATAGTATTTTTTTTAACGAAATGTTGTATCCCGTTTTTTTTAATTTAAAAAGAAGGAAGCAAAGTTTATATCTCTCACAAGGGCTATATAACAAATATAGAAATTTATATAACATATAAATATATGTATAACAAATATAGAAATTTAAGTGAGCTTACCCAATTTATGTGATTCAAGACACTGTCTTGCCAATTCCAAACTCCCAATCAAACAACTCTGAACAAAGCCTTGTGTTACTACAACTTATCCTAATGTTCGTTTTGCAGTCCTCGGAGGAATGGTGCTGATAGCTTTACAAGTTTCAACAATGATGTTTCCAACTCACCCGAATTGTGTTCCCAGTCAAAGTGTTTTCAATGTCTATACACACATAAAAACAATGTCCACACAGTAAATTACACAAACTGTCGTCCTTTAATCCAGTTTACCCGTGCACATAATAATTCTGGTTGAAATGTCCTGATTCTGCTACTTCAAATTTGAAAATCTTGTGAGTATCCTGCTAAAACCTTGCTAAAACCGTACAACTAAGGTAAACGCACCATCCTCTGTCATTGTCTCTGTCAAAGAACCCAAACACAAGTGCATCATCGCTATTTTTAGCACTTCCTGCCAAGTATACTCTTTCCGAATTAGGCATAGAATAGCTGGCAAGAAGGTAGCGCTGTTTACAGTATATCTCTAAACTCAGCTTGCTACTCTACATTGCAATTGGCGTCTACATTCCAGCCCCTAAATTACCCATAATGTACTATTACAATTTTCACATCTATATCAATAAGACGTCAAGTCCCAATTTCCTATATAAAATACAGTTCAAGGAAATTCTAAAGTACAATACAAAACTTAAATAAGCGAACAAATTTCGAGATAATAACGAAAAACTCGGTCTTCATCCTGATCTTCATCTTGATCACGAAGTCTAAATAACGTTGATAGATGCAATTATGGACCATGCCCAGACCTCGTCGCGGCCTCTTCACCATACTGGCTTAGTATGGCTTCATGCCCCAATGGCATACTATTGATGGTCCAGTCAAAGACTCCATTCTTTTAACCAGTACTGGCAACAGCGGGTTTGATGAGCCCAACTGTTTATTACGAATACACCATGAAACACTGTTAGATTGCTACAATCATCAAACCATTAACCATTAACACTCTGCCTCCAACAATATGCAGAGCTTATCACATGGTCGCTCTAATACACTGGTTCTGGTCCTCACCATGATACGTTGTACTAGTCCCTTCGAGGCTGGCATCACTTTAACAATTCTTCCCATAGGCCATATGCATCGAGGTGTATTGTCCTCCTTAATCAATACAACATCACCAATATTCAGATTAGGTTTAACCTTTGACCATTTCTGACGTTCTTGTAGCATAGGAAGATACTCTCGGGCCCAGCTTTTCCAAAATAAGTCAGCCATGTACTGCACTTGCTTCCATCGTCTTCGTGCATACAAATTACTTTTTTCGTTCAGACTAGGTGGGAGTGCTGAGCTCTTCATAGTTAACAGCATGTTCGGTGTCAAGGCATCTATATCTTTGGCATCATCAGATAATTTTGTTATAGGTCTACTATTTATGATATATTCGACCTCACAAAAGAATGTCTGTGAGCTTTCATCTAGTTGCTGTTGCTTTGTGAGGCTCCTAACAGTTGTCTAATAGTGCGTATTTGCCTTTCCCACACACCACCAAAGTGTGATCCATATGGTGGGTTAAAGGTCCACTTTATTCCTTTCCTCAGCAGGAATCTGTTGATTCTTGACTGATTCCAATGATCTATTTCTTCTCTCAATTGCTTCAGTGCACCAACAACATTGGTACCATTGTCTGACCTTAATTCCTTCACTGAATCTCTCCGAGATATAAATTTCCTCAAGGCATTGATGTAGGAGTCTGTACTCATGGAGTCAGCCTTTTCTATGTGCACTACTCGTATTGCCAAACAGGTAAATATGACTCCATATCTTTTCACTG